GGGGGCTGTATCTAACAGACACCTGCAGAAGTGAGCTGTGATCAGAATAACTCCCTTCGCGAGTGCGTCAGAGGGTGCTAATGCAATTCCATTCTCCATAGCTCGGTTTATTCAGGACATAAAATAGAGAGACCATGGGCATCAAGTCATTTGATGCCAGCTGTGGCGTCTCCTTGGCTGACCCTTGAGATAGAGGCTGAGCGCTCAGCTTCCCAGAAACCACCCCCTGATCGGCTTTTTCTGGCTTCTCCTTCAGGGTTATCAATGCCGGGAAGAGCACGCACAATGAGGACCAGGCCAGCTGTGAGGTGTTCACGGTGAAGAAGAAAGCCGGGGCCGTGACGTCCACCCCAAACAGGAACTCGAAGCGAAGGTCGTCCCTTCCCAACGGGGAAGGGCTGCAGCTGAAGGAGAACTCGGTAAGCATCATCCCCGCCGTGTCTTGGGGAGTCATGTTCTCTAGCCCCGACGGTTAAGATGCCAGGGCTCCCGTCCAGGTGAGAATGGGTGTGGGGAGAGCTCGTCTGCAGATTCAGGGAGGCAGTGAGTCAGCGGGGGCATCGTCCATTCCGTGCTGAAGGTGGCACGCGTTAGGTGAGCTGGCACTTGTATTTTTAACAAAGTGAACACAACCGGACCGCTATAAATAGTTCGTTTTAGGAGCCAATATCTATCATCTCGGGTGGTTTCAAAGAAGCCGATTTTTTTGTGGAGGAAGCGACCTAAAAACCTCTTGTAAGGGGTGGAGGAAACTCCAGCTGTTGGCTCGGTGCCCAGCTCTGACTATGACTGTCTTTCTTTTTTCTGTCCGTTATACTCAGCGAGTTGGAGCCTGTTGCAAAAATTCTTCCAACTTAGTGTTTGTTTCCTTTGGCCAAAGACCCTTGCAGCCTATGGGGTGGCCTTGGCAAACCAAATGCCCTCCTGTTGACAAGCCCCAGGGTACATCCCCTCTCCCCAGTGTCTGGAGAACAAAGCAGACATCCTCTCGGGAAAGATCTGCAGAAACCCTTGGAGAAGGATGCAGGGGTCACCAACCCTGTGGATCAGCAGATCCGTTCGGTCCCGTGGAGAAGTGCCCTGTGGAAAAACCAGGGCACATTAAATGAGATGGCCTGCGTGTGGCTATTTGTTCTCGGAAGCTTTAGTCGATTTTATTTTATATAAAATGTACAGAATTTTAGAAGATCTACGCGTTCCTTCTTAGCCTAGAAAATAGTGTCTTGTTTCATGTAGGCTCAGAGAACAGTGAACGGATTGAGATCAGTTTGGAGTCAGGAAGCGTAGCAACCTCTGGGTTCTTCAGCACTTGTTGGAGCTGAAGGAAGCATAGGATGCGGTCTTTCCCAGAGAACCAAAGTCAGGTCTTGACTGGAGAGGTCGGAATGATAATGGTGACGTGCAGACGTGCGTGCGTGCGGACGTACGTGCGTGAGCTCTGCAGCAAGATGACTCAGGCCATCTGAGACTTGCTAGCTCATTGACGTTGAGATACATGCTTATTCTTTTAGCCTTTGGTTTTTTTGTTTGTTTGTTTTGTTTTGTTTTGTTTTTTTAACTGCCAAATGGTGGAAGGGGACCGGTCGGGATTGTGAAATCTAACACTGGTCTGTGGAAAAATTTGAGCCAGTCATTGATGAAGAAATTCTTAACGTAGGTCTGGAGAAGAGAGCTCAATGGTTAAGAACACTAGCTACTCTAGTAAAAAACCCAGTTTCCATTCCCAGCAGCCACATGGCAGCTCGCAACTGTCCATAACTCCAGTTCCAGGGGATCTGATACCCTGTCCTGGCCTCTGTGGACACTGTGCATGTGGTACACATATATACTCATACACATAAAATAAAAATATGTCTTAATCCTTCAGACGTTAATGATCGATCTCCTATGAAGGGCTGTCCCTCCTCGGTCACTGTGTGTAAGGCTCACTGAATTTCGTGTTTATTCCCTTGTGAATGGGGGTTATGTAGTTCTTTGACTCACTCCCACTTGTGGGGGTGGAATTATTGCTGGATGGAGCTCAGAAACTGAGAGTCGCTGCTGATAATGAAATGCATGGACATTGTCCCCAGGCCAGTTTACGGAGGTTTTTCTCCTACTAATCCATTTCTCTTAGAAGTAGAGCCTAAAGTAATGTTTCCACAGAGACAGTGAGAAGAGAGGGAAGTGTGCTTTTGGGGTGGAGCCCCGAGCTTCCCAGTGATGGTTCCAAATCTGTATGAGACTTGTACTCCTAGAGAGAGCAAGAAGGAGCTAGACAGAGTGGACACAACTGGCCATCCATTTCTCTCCTTCATTCCTTTTTAATTGTAGGCAAATGTAGGTAATGTAACACTGACCATCTTAACCATTTTAGGTGTACAGTTTAGTGGCATCCACGTATTTGTGCAACCATCACCCTCACCTATCCCTGGAACTTTTTCATCTTCTCAAAAAGATGTTTCCCAGGGTGGTAGTGGTATGTGTTTTTTTATCCCAGCACTTGGGGAGGCAGAGGCAGGTGGGTCTCTGTGAGTTTGAGGCCAGCCTGGGCTACAGAGAGAGTTCCCGGACAGCTAGGGCTACGCAGAGAAACCCTATCCAAAGGGGGGTGGGCGGGAAACATGGAGGACGAGGAGGAGATGTGTGTGTGTGCGCACACTAATTCCCCATTCTGCCTTCCCATGAGCCCTTGGCAGTCACCATTCTGTTTTCTCTCTCCATGAGTTTGACCACTCTAGGTAGCTAAAATAAGGGGAAATCTACAATATTTGTCTTGTTGTATCCACCTTATTTTAGGATTCAGGATAACGTCTTTGGTTTATCCAGGTTGTGGTGTGAGTCATCTCCGAAGGTTGAAGAACTTTCCATCCTAAACATCTTCCTCCTTTTGTTTACTGCTCACCTGCGAATGTGCACAGGTGTTGTGTACAAACACTTTATTAAGATTCCACCTCCGTTCCTTTTGGATGTCTACCTAGCAGCACAATTTCTGTATAATATGCTAGTTCTGTTTAATTTTTTTTTAACTGGCAGTTTTATTTTCCACTGGCCGCACCATTTCACATTCCCACCCACAATGCCACAGCGTGCCAGTTTCTTGTCTTTGCCAGAACTTTTCTGTTCCTTTCCTTTTAGATCCTAAAATATTTGCAGTGGTAGTTCATTGTAATTTTGAATAATGATACTATATTCTAAACCTTTTATTATTTTATTTATATAGGCATATGCACAGTGTGTGTGTGTGTGTGTGTGTGTGTGTGAGAGAGAGAGAGGGGGGGGGGGGAGAACCCACAGAGGCTATAAGTGGGTATCAGATCCCTTGGAGTTAGAGTTACAGTTGTTTATAAGCCATGTGATGTGGATGCTGGAGTCTGGATTCCAGCTTCCTGATAAAGCAGAAAGCCATCTCTCCAGCACCATGGTACTGTGTGTGTGTGTGTGTGTGTGTGTGTGTGTGTGTGTGTGTATCCTTATTGGCCCTTTATAGTGTGTGTGTGTGTGTGTGTGTGTGTGTGTGTGTGTGTGTATTCATTAGAGAATATCTGTTTGAATCCCTTACACATTGTTTTCATTGTGCCTTCTGTTTTGCTATTGTTGGAGTTCTTCTCTAAAAGGCCCAATGACATCAGTTGCTGTGTACCAAGAATGAGATGCTGGGGATTCATCCGGAGGCATAGACACAAAACTACTCACCCATGAGGTGTTTACATTTACTGAAAGAAGCAGTTAAAGGTAGAAGGTAGCCTGGCCTGGTGACACACTCCTTTAAACCCAGCATTTGGAAGACAGAAGCAGGTGTGGTTCTCTGCGTTTCAGGCGAGCCCTGGTCTAGACAAGTTCCAGGACAGCCAGGGCTATACAGAGAAAACGTGTCTCGAAAAATAAAAACAAAAAGTAGAGTGACGAAGGGCCAGGGGATGAAGGCTATTGAGAAAAAGGTGGAGTTGGACACTGTGGAAGATAGCAGGGTGGCTGGGGAAGACATCCCTGAGAAGGTGTGGTCTGGAAGAAGAGCATGCTATCATTATGGGCCATTGCAGAGACCTGGATATAAGAGCAGGCCCTGGGTCCTCATGAGTGAGCCAAGAGGCCCCAGTGGTTGGAGCAGAGACGCAGAAAATCTTTGTCATGAGAGTGTGATGCAGACTCACGCAGGAGCAGGAAGGTCACCTTTGGGTCTTTGGCTTGTACACTCACTGCAGACTTTACCAGCTCAAGATGCTGGATACACTGATTTTTAAAGGTCAGTGATTTTTTTTCCCCCTGTTTAGAAAACATCCCTTAAGAGTCAAACTCACATATAATAGCACTTAACGGAGCAAGTGAGAATGTAAGGCCTAGGTTCATAGCACAGTTGGAAACTGTAGCTAATGATAATGTATTCTATGCTTCAAAAAGGCTGGAAGGAAGGACTGCGGCAGTATAGGACCCACAGCCAGAAACCATCAGTGGGAGACAAATGAGGCCGGCTCCGCCTGCTCCCCTGTGACCCCCTCCCTTCAGCCTGCAGACATATCGATCACCAAGCCAATGAGCTGAGTCCCGGGGTAACATGAGCTCTGGAGCAGGAGGAGAGAGACCACTAAGCTGAGATGGTGTGATAGGGCTGGTACAAGCAGGATGAGAAACCGGGCTTCTACGGAAGCCTGACGCAGACTGGCCACTGGATGTTGTTTGAATCTTAGATGGTCTTTATAATAAAAAAAAAAAACCCGGAGCCAGGTATTGGGGTGAAAGCTGAAAGATCAGAGAAGCAGAGTAAGCCACAGCCAGCCTCACCTCGCCAACTCCAGGAATCCTCTGACTGAAATCCTGAGTTCTCACCCCAAGGGTCCCAGCTGAACTGCCTTAGTTCCTGTCTCCTCACGCCTTATATACCTTTCTCTGCCCAGACTTCACTTCCTGGGAGTAAAGGCTTGTGTGCTTCCCAGTACTGGGATTAAAGGTGTGTGCCTGGCTCTGTTTCCAATATGGCCTTGAACTCATAGAGATCAGATGGATCTCTGCCTTCCTAGTGATAGGATTAAGGGTGGGCGCCACCACTGTCTGGCCTCTATGTCTAATCTAGTGACTGTCTCTGTCCTCTGATCCTCAAGGCAAGTTATTAGGGTACACAATATATCACTACAACTGGCAGTTTGATGGACTGCTTCCTAGAGAAAGTGACATTTGAACTCTGATCTTGAAAAGTGAACAGGAGGGGGCCGGGTGGTGGTGGCGGCGGCGGCGGCGGCGGCGGCGCACGCCTTCAATCCCAGCACTTGGGAGGCAGAGGTAGGTAGATCTCTAACTTCGAGACTAGCCAGGTCTATAGATCAAGTTCCAGGACAGCCAGGGCTACACTGAGAAACCTTGTCTTGAAAAATAACAACAGCAAAATAAACAAACAATAAACAGGAGGGAGCAGAACTTGGTGATAGATTGTATACCTGTCACG